ACCTTGGTACGTGCAAGCTCGGCAAGTGAATTTACAACCACTTCTTGTGTCACAAAGCGACGCAATGCCTGGACTGCCTCACCAAAGTAGTCTTGTCGGAGTATCCGAGCGGCATTTCCAAGGCATCGGGCCGCACGCACCTTGGCCCAGCGATCATGAGCGTCAATTAACGTCACGGAACATAGTCGCAGGATTTCCAGGTGCGTTGTACTAGTCACTGCACTGAAGCGAAAGCAGTCAATGACAATGTTCACCGTGCGAAACAACCGTGCGAGCAAAATACCACCATTCTGAAGACTCTGATCTCCAATGCCTGAGCCCATGGATCCCGCAGCACACATATGCTTTAGACGGCGCACAAGTTCTAACACAACTTCGCGAAGGAATACAGACGCCTCTTCTAAAAGAGCACAAACGGAGTCCTCGTTCACGGTCGATTCACTCTTCTCATGAAGTAGAAGATTCCTAAAGCATAGTGTCACCAAGTAGTGTACTGTCACAAAGGCGCTGTCACTTAGCATTGCTGGTGAAGATAAATGTGTCCGACATGATCCGTGCAGAGAAGCAATATCAAATTTGAAGGGGCTATTCTCTCCAAAGTTCACAATGAGCTTGACGAGGGTAGACTTTGCTTGTACTGCAACAAATGGTATCATTGTGGTGAAGGCACATTCCGTAGCAATCCCCAAAAATTCACCATTTCGCGTAAAGAAAACGCCATTAAATGGACTCATGACACCGCAACCAATCACATCTCCATTAGACCAGACGTCGCTAAAGCGAACAACTGGGCGACCATACCTTACTGTTCCATCTGAGGAGAACACCACTGAATTATCCTTTCCTGCCGACATAGCCGACGATAGTGGAGAACCCGCTAATCCAATAGAAACCAAGGCTTGTTCGTTGAGCATAATTTCTATCGTCACCTCAAAGTATAGAGCCTCTGGCATGTCCACTACGACACAACCGCTAATATGACTTGCAAAACAGTCACGCTCCGTGGATGGATGACTCGGCATGGCATCAGCTCTCAGTGTCCTCCAGTGGTTACGTGCCATGCAACAAGCATCAGCATTCTCCACCACCACCCCGAGAGTATCACCCTCTACAATGCTAACCCGTTCCGCTGAAAGTTGCAGCGTATTAGGGATGATAACACCACGGTATAGCAAACTGAATATACCACACTCTTTCGTATAGCTCATCCAAATGGTGTCTTCACCACAGCTTCCTGGCTGAGAGGGTGATGCGTCATCAAGAGCCGAGAAAAGATAATTTTTCAAAACGCGAAAGATTTTCGCCGGGCGGATGATGGACATGTCGACACTATCCCATGGATGGCAAAGAATAGCACACAAGGAAACAGCTCCAACCACACCATACTGTCCATCATGTGCCTCGGATTCACTTCTACCTAACAAGCTCTGCTGAATAATGGAGTGAACAAAACCACAAGATGCCTTTTGTAATTCCAATTCTCGATGAAAGCCGCATCCCATCATCAGATCAATGTAATGTTGATCTATCAAGTCGGGTTTAGATGGTGCCGCCTGGCTCAGTGACCTTCGATCAGATTTCCCTTCCACATCGACACCAACGCCAGCATGTTGTAAGTAGACGAGTTCTCGATAAAGCAGATGTGAGCTCACTATTGACCACGCCATATCCTTATCACTTTGATGAGCGGCGCACAGCTCCTCTTGTAGCTTGTATGCAGCAGTGTGTATTGATGCCTGTTGTGCCTTCTTCACTAGTGCCTGCACAAGTTCTTCATTGCTAATCCCATTGTACCCACGTAGAAGGAAATTCATTATCTGCGAAGAGATACTCTCAGGGCTACACTGAATCCCTTCGCTTATCACTCCAGATCCCAACAATGAATTACGCGGTCGCAGGATGCTGCCTATCCCATCATAGTGAAGATTGGATAGCTCTGACGTACCAGTCACCATACGTCTCATAAAGCTCACGCTCTGACTTTCTGTCCTATCGTGGGAAAAGGAAGCAACGCTTGTGACCGACCTGACATTCGGAATCACATGAGTACTCACCGTTGGCAACACACTTGTGATTGGTTCCTCAGTTTCCTGGTGTTCAGCTATTAGAGATTCAAGTCGAGCTCGAGGATTCACCATCTTCAGTAAAAAACGCGCCCGTTCCAGCATTGCGTCTTCGCCTCCCTGTTGCAAGGACTCAAGTATGAGAAATGCTTTCTTCCGCATAAATTCCAGTGAATTTTCCAGAGACTTCTGAAGTGAAACATGCCTTGGACGATGTGAGTGCCACACATGTGCGGAGGAAAACAAACGCAAAAGAGGTTCCAAGCGCTCCTGGTACGGCACCCGTTTCTTCGTGTACATTGTTCGCCACGACTCAAGAAGGTCACCTGTATTGTCGCATAACCGCAACAGTTCTACTTGATCCGTCTTGTCCAGAAGACCCTCATCCACCGCTCTACCAACACGGTGCTCCTTTAATGCTTCCTGTGACAATCCTCCACGGAAAAGACTTTTTCGTGGAAGAAGAATTGCGTCAGGGAGGTCTGTGAGTAGTAGTCCGTGCGTTATGCGGAGGGTGGCGTGGCTCAACGCGTAGCATATGTCGCGGATCCAATGCGTTAATTCAGTCCGAAGCTCAACTTGTGCCGTAACAGTAATAGCGGTATCCTTGTTATTCCCAGTCGGTTTTGAGGCAATTTCCATCTTGCCACCTTCCTTCAGGATAAGTTGCGAACCACTAACTGTCTCGACTACTCTCTTATATTCATTTGTCACGAGAGAAACGTACAATTGGGGGGTCTTATCCACTACTGGATACTCGTATGACACTTCTATATGTTTCGCATGGCGTAAATCAATCGCTACCGTATGAGACACGTTCGCTGGTATAAGCACCCTGTGCGTCTCTGTGAAGCAGTGACTAACGGATTGTGAAGGGACAGAAGGTATGTATGAAGTTAGCGCCTCTCGCATCTCGTTGAGCATGCTGAGAACGTCCACCGCAGCACTGCTGTCAATCTCAAGATCTGAGAGGTAATGCGCAAGGGGGAAAACAACTATGCCAATCGATGTATGTTTTAGTACATCGAGCTGCTCAAGTGTGCGTCCCTTTCCAGAGTGCGCCAAGGGAAAAATGCGATTGAACATGCGCAGAATGCCTTTGCAGAGAGAGCTCAACAAAGCTACAGCCACCAAGTGCCACTCTGGTTTAGTCTTTTGGGAGAGAATACACAACAGAGTTGTCAACGTTGCGGAGGAAGGTTTAAAGGGTGTGCTCCTGCCATTCAAGACAGATTCTGACTCCGTGAGGCTTTCTTCTTTCAAACGATGAAGGAATGTCATGAAAGGTTTCTTCAAGTTTTTCTCCATGATACTAGCTACTAACGACGGTAAATGCTCAGGGACAAGCAGGTCCTTCACATCAGTTAGTTTTTTGGCCTCCATAATGCATTGCAGCTGATAGTCGTGACTGACACATTCCATAAGAAAGACGCGATGAATCCATGAAAAAATGATTTGAGCCTCAGCTAAAAATCCTCCAGGCTCGCAGTTTTGATCGTGGAGTCGTTCATACATGCCCACCACGGTTGGCACAAGACTTGATGGACAACCTCGTCCCATCCAACTCAACTGCCGCCCCAGCAGACGACCGCAGACACAAAGTAGCAGAAGCTCTACATCATTTTCCACCTTAGAGGATGTCACCAACGATATCAGATCCCCGCACATATCAACAAGCCTTACCAGAGTTTGGGAAGACGGCTGGTTCCACACAAACAATTGGGCAATTTGGTGCACATTCATGTTGCCTTTAGCGTCGGTCAGTATGGTCGCGTTTAATTGATGCAGCAAGTATAGCGATAACAATAACGGCGTCAGAGGACGCTTCTCCTTGACAAGTCTGAGCACTTCTCCACATGCTGCGGCGCTATTCTTCACGCTTGCAAGATCCCTCACAAAACTTGTGGGTAACGCGTGTGTTTGAATCCAACGAAGACTTGAGAGACCACTCTTCTCTGAAACGAGGCTGTACATACGACTCGTGTGCGTACACATATAGTAAAACTCATTCGGTCTGACATTCATAAACTGTTGTTCCAAAATTCGTCCATCAGCGCTGACCCAGGTACAAAAACCATCTTCCACAATAGCAGTTTCGTATTCATTTGTCGCAATGTAATAATGACCAGAGACAACGTATGGAATCTCTTCCGACCCCTCCACACCTCGCCCACGGACTGTCTTCTGCGGAACACACCACGACGGACATGTGCCCTTCCATACGTGTGTACCATTTATGCTTTGAAAACAGCACCCAGACCCTTCATTCATCTTGAACGAGCACAACAAGTTAGACTGTGCCGCATTCCAACTTTTCCCTGTCGCTGCAGCAAGAAGTTCACTGACGGATAATAGACGATTCCATAGCTGAACCCCAGAAATGAATCCACTGAACGTGCCTTCTAGGAAACTAACAGAAGCTGATTCGGGAGCAGATAACTTGAACATCACCCCCCTACTACCATCACTATCAAGCTGCACACCGTCCTTGTACACTGTCCACGTTGCTGCATCGTTCACAGAAGCCAGAGTGGCGCTCCACAGCGTCCAGCTTTCTTGTATAGACTCTCGAACCTCCGTCACCACATCGCTGCCATGCTCAAACACAATAGACACTAACGAGTTCCGGCTGTCAATAGAGACTCTTACTGAAAGCCACACTTTTCCATGAATTTTCAGGTTTATGAGCTCTAGCGACGTGCATTGCTGGACTGCTTGTATGCAAAGAAAGAACTGAATACTGAGAGAGTCTGTTTCGGGTGAAATTTGAAGCACATTCGGATGCATAGTACCTTTAATCTTCGTCGATGCGTCAAATTGTGCGTATGATGGCGAGAATTCGTCGTGGTAGTAATATGGCGAGACGAACCTTCCTCTTCCATGATACACATGAAACCCGCGTGTCAATTTGGCCCCCCGCATATCCAGCAAACCTCTCACCTGCAGAGTCTCGATATCGTAAAAAGTCACCACTTCAGCGCCTTTCGATTGAACTGCTATTCTGTCGTCTTCCACAAACACGCCATAGCATTCCTTTACTTGAGTGCTTTCGTTTGCACCAATCACATTGTACGGCGGCTTCAAAGCAATTTTATATATCCCCTTGCTTGTCAGAATGACGCCATAAGTTTCGTCATTCTGTGAAACAGTGCAGACACCAACGATGCTGCGCGAAAAATCCAACCCAAGCGAATGTAGCAAAGGGACGTCTGATGATTTTATCCACGATATGGGAAAGGGCAAACGCATTCGTGGACGCGCGTATGACTCCATCGAAGTGATCCATTGCGCAATACCCTTTAACGGCAGTTCACTCGATAACTTTGGATGTTTGTATATCCATCTAAACATCACCAGTAGAGTATCAATTTCTTTCGTCGCCAGAGCAATTTTAAACAAAAGAACAACACAACAGACCAGCCATTCGCTACCTTTACTGTCACCGTCGCCTGCCACAGAGTGCTGGACTAATAACGTCTCACGCTCATTCTGAAAGATTAGCATTTTCGTTAATTGTTGTAAACCCCACGAGTGCAGCGTTTTGCTTGACGAGTTCAGACCGCATTGATCAATTACACGATGTAATAAGCGGAGAACCGTGAGAGGTGCCTTTGGCTGTAATGAATCGGACAAAACGCTCATGGCCCAGTCGAGTGCATCCACATGGTTCATGTCAGTTGAAGAAATAACGGTGTTGTCGGAGCACCATTCATCTTCAATGTTGCTCTCATCAGCATCTGTGCACTCATCCTCCCAATTTGCACATAGTGACTCCTCCGAATACGGCTGCACTGAAAATGAGTCCTGGTGGGCCTTCTTCGCCTCTGCAGAAGCTGCCGCACGAACAAGCAGGGATCGCAGAAAAACAGGAGTAGGGGATGTGTGCCGTCGCGCGATTTCGACTGCAGCGAGTCGCATGAAACGTGCTACTTGATCCGTGTCAGGATGCCGTACATTAACGATGTCTGGGAGTTCGGGAAGTTGCGAAAACGGGGCGTACATCAGATTCTTTGCAGACGAGGGAACCAATGGCCAGGCCCTTGACAGGAGATCAGCTGAACTGTATTTGACCAGATCCTCCAAGTTCACTGCAGAGGTACCCTCAGATTCCGTCTGAAAACAATCAGACGGATACAAGCCGTGCGAATGGCTCGACACTTTCTTTTGGGGTGGTTTGCTGGAGTGACGATAGATCTCCGGTATAACAGAAGCGCGCCTTCCAGTCGCTGTTTCACGATCCCCACGATTCGGAGAAAACCTTGGCGGCCGCCTACGCCGACCGGTCGGTCGCACCTCCTGCTGTCCCTGTTGCAGCTGCTGCTGTTGTTGTTGGGGCGGTTGTTGTTGTTGCTGCTGTTGCTGTTGTTGCCGTCCACCAATCGAGCTGTCCGTGCTGTAATCGTCATCCTCCAAATCTGCGGTATTGATCATTTGTGTGTCAGGCAGCAACAGACCCTGAGCTGCGTCACTCAAAGAGACCCCAGCAGTCTCTAAACGATCCGCATCGGCAGCGGACTGTTCCTCTTCTGTTGCCCATTGCACAGCTATTGGCTCCGTGGGAAAACCCGTATAATGGCTCATAGTGAGTTGTCTCTTTTTTTCTATTCCTGATTTATTTTCCTCTAGATGTAAGCAAGCAGTTGTCATGAAGAAAAAAAATAAATAAAAAAAAGCAAAGCAAATCATGGTGTTGCGTTTGCATTTTTTCCGCTAGTTTTTATTTTTGCTTGGGACAGGAAGGCGGGCCGCGGCCAGCACCCACCAACAGAGGCACGGGGGGGAAACAAGCACAGCGGCGAAACGGCCAAACGACACAAATAAATCTTCTCTTCGGGTGACCACGAAGATTAGTCCCGCGAAGGCAGAAACAGAAAAGGGACGACAGCAAAGTAGCAAATTCTATATTCCTCATTGTCAATTCAAAATCTTATTATTAATTAATTTTTTTCCTTGACTATTTTCTAGCTTCCTTCATCCCAGTTGGAAACTGTGGCTATCTAGTGAGGCGTGGATGCCTCGTTCGGGTCCGTCTCAGCTGGCGCTCTCTGGGGAGCCACAACATCCTCACGGGGGTCACCGCAGGGGTAATTGATGCGCGGTCACCAGGCCCAAGGAATGTCGGAGAGGGCGTACAGCAGGACACCGGCGATGATGATCACATATGATGCAAAGAACACAGGGGTTGGATAGACTCCAAAGATTGTCGTGTTCCAAATTATACCAAATTATACTCACTGCTAGCAAGGATATATTAGCAAACGCCGCACTTGCAATTAGGAACAGGATGGGTAGGCCAGTGTATACGCAGAGCATCGTCAACCCAAACATCATTTGAAACAACCAGTCTCGATTAGTCCACGTCTCTCGTGCAGGCGAGAATGTCTTCCACTCCACAGCAAAAAACTGAATTGTCGCAAACACAAGAGCACATCCGGACATACAAAACAAGTTCTCCATAATGGGTATGTACTTGGGGACCTCCGGCAGAATCTCCCCGCACGCCTCGATCACTCGCTGTTTCTGCTCCCTCTCCGCACCTGGAATAGTGTTAGGTGAACACGATGCTTTGGGGCATGCCCCTACTAACTGAGGCTTTACTGATAGGTGCCTACCGGCATCCATCTCAATTATAACACTCTCTGCCTCTTGCGTGCCACCAACAAGCTCATTTTCATCGCTACGTGATACTCTCGGCTGAGGCTTAATGAAATACTCTGTTAACACATTGCTAACTGCGTAGAGAACAGCAGAGAGGAGACACAGCATGTCCCCCTTAACAGCACTAGGTGCATCAGAGTCACGTGATATGCCGTCGGCGTCCAACACAATGAGAAGCGCCAGCCCTCCCGTCGCGATCACACATCCAGCGATATGAGTAATGGAAAAGCGCATCTTAAAGATGAAGTAACTCATTAGAAGCACACAAGGTATTGTGAAACAGCCTAGGAGCTGGGCTGACACCATATCCGTGAACGGGTAGGCCTTGACGATCACGAAATTCGCCTCCATGTCAATTAGTCCAAGCATGGCGTACTTCCACGGACGATGAAAAAATGTGAAATTTGAGTACTCCCGATGCCGGTGCAGAAAAAACATAAAGAGAAACAGTGGGCAATATACGACGAAGATACAAGCATACGCTGTCACACACTGCAGGCTAGGATAACTGGCATCATTCTCCACAAGCATATTTGTCGAAACTCCTGTGAGCGAGTTCAGCAATGCCACGGCCTGCCCCACCACTACGTGAAGCGCCACCTGCTTGACTCTCCGCAGCCTCATTGCTTCCCCTAAAGCCAAAACCCAAAGTCTAGCATCCATTATAGATTTGAAGAAACAAAGAAAAGGAAGCACCACTCATTTAGAGAGTCAAATATATTTACGTAAGTATGTAATTGTGTACATCGTCACAGCCCTGCAGATATACCAACTATATATACCACTATATATATATATATATATATATGCGTGCGTGGAAAAAAAAATAGCGTAGTGACTCACATCGCGACAACGTTATGCAATGATCACTGGCTGACCTGAATTCTGTGAGACCGTATCGCTTTAAGCATTTCACGATACGCATGATTTGAGAAAAATGCAGCTAGCATTCGCTGAGCCCACATTGGAACACTCCTCGGTATTTGCACATCATTGGCTGATGTCATTATCATAAGCGTTCCATCAAGCTTATTCGTCTCCTTCTGAAGGCGAACGGTGTTTATGAAGGTGTCGTACACAATCTTCGTGGTTTCACCGTCCACCATGCTCCCACCGCAGGAGAGGGGTAATGGATTCGCCCAAAGCTGCGATGCTGCATCAGCGATAGGTAGAATCAATATGTGTTGGTAGTTTACACTCACACGAGCGGCTTCCCGCTCCTTCTCGCATAAGTACAGCCACTTGTGGAATGACTTTGATTGTTCACGGGTCATCTCCACCGCCTCGTCAGTTCCACTGTAGAGTACATCATACATCTTCAGTGGTTTTGGGCCGTGATCTCGCTTTGTGTAGGACACTGAGCGACGCTGGTAAACAAAGAGGCGATCGGCAATCCCAAATTTGTCGAGAAGTGAATGTCCCACACGGTGTGCAAACCAGCCTTGATCAACAGTATCTCGCGCAACATCTGGAGCAAGAAGACAGCAGTCGCCCCGGCAGAGTGGTGTTTTCTTCGCCACCATCTCAATGGGCCGTTCAGTCGTTTCCAGATGATTCACGGCGCCGCTCTCGGCGCTGTCCTTGTTGTCGTTGTCGTTCCATTTGCAAAACATGTGGTAGTTGCGGTCCCACTGCCTCCGCAGGTGCAAATCTGTCATAAACTCGAATACCTCCTCTGGGAGAACGTCAGGAAAAAATCCAACAATTCGCATGAAAGGCGCCGGGCGTCCATTTTTCGCATCAGTCGGGTATGAAGATCCGAGTCTCAGCACCTGCACCTTAGGGTCGTCATCCGGTCGGCTCACCCCGCCCTCCTTGAGGAAGTTGCTCGACTCCACCTTCCATTCCCCCCGCCGCTGATCCAAGAAGCGCATACATTCCCACAATTGGCCTGAGAAAATGGCGTCAACACTTGGCGCAAGTGTTGGCGTTCCCTTCAAAAAATGCAACTGAGGATGATCAATAGCGTCGATCAAGGAGAGCGGTTGTGGCCACGGCACCCCATCCGATTGCCGCCTTCCTACTCAATGCTCGCGGCATGGCAAAGCTACACACACACACACACACACACACACAGCCAGAGAAGCAAAGAGAACAAATGTTAAAACCTATACTCAATTTAAAAACGAAGAAAGAAGAAAGGAATACCACACAAGACCGCTAGGTCAATATAAGCAACAAAGATTTCAGCACCAAACCAAACTTTCAGTCACTCACTTCTTTACCCAAACCAGCGTCTGTCATTTTTCTGTAAATCCTTTACCAGATTGCAGTAGCAGGCATTCAAACTCCTTCTCCGCCAGGAAGCAGTTCGGGTACAACTGGTCGGCGTTTACAACTCCCTTAAAGCGGCCCGGTGTGTGAATCACTGCTTTCATATCTGGTTCAACCGGCACACGGCTGAGCAGTGTTGTAGAAACCCACAAGCCGAGTAAGCGTGGGCCTCCATCGCCGCCGCCGCCGCCATCGCACCGCGTC